TTCTGCTACTCTCTTCTCCTGACTGGTGCATTTAATCCACTTACATTCAGTGTAATTAATTATCCATAGACATGAGTTGATGGCTCTCATTTTGCTGTGTGTTTTTTGTGATGCTGGTACTTGTTTCACATAAATTTCTGGCTGAGTTCATTTTGTTTGTGGATATTCTTTCCAGTTTCTTCATTGTTGCTGGTTAATGGTTACTAAATTTTTCTGATTTTCTTCTTTCTTATTTTAATGGGGCAGTATTCATTTTCTTTGAGATTACTGTAATTTATTACTTTTTCCCATTTGAAGTAATCTGTTTTATCTCAGAATCTATTTGATTTCCTCACCATTTGGAAGTTCTGTATCTACACTAGTTGGCTTCATTATACACTGATATCTCGGGTTCCCTGTTTTCAGTCTTTTATGTTTGTTTTACTTTGGATACGTCTGTTTCTGGATTGAGTTCTGGGTAATGTTGTGTATGTTAACCTCAAGTTGTCTACTGTTGTCGGTTCTCAATCCAAAGAACCTTTAGTATGTTTTATAAAGTTAGTCTGCTTTCTACAAATTCTTTTAATTTCTGTTTGTCTGAAAATGTCCTAATTTCACCATCATATTGTATAAGTCATCCCATTACCTTCTTACCTGCGTGGTTTCTGCTGAGAAATCAGAACTTAATAAAAACTCTTATTGGTTGACCTATGTAGGTCACTTTTCATTTTTCCAGAGCTGGTTTCAGTATTTTTTTCCTTGTCTTTGGTTTCAGAAAGTTTGATTATGATATGTTTTGGTGGTTTTCTTATGGGGTCTCCCCTGTTTGGGGTTTGCTCAGCTTCTTGAATGCTTATTGTCTCATATTTTATGATGATGTTGTTGTTAGGTGCCATCGAGTCAGTACCAACCCATAGCGACCCTATGCACAGCAGAACGAAACACTGCCCGATCCTGGGCCAACCTCACGACTATTGCCACACTTGAATCCACTGATGCTGCCATTTGGCCAATCCATCTCGTTGGGGGTCTTCCTCTTTTTTTCTGACCCTCCTCCTTACCAAACATGATGTTAGGAAAGTTTTTGTCTTTTGTTGTGAATTGAGTGAAGGTTTACAGAAAAGATCATCAGTTTTACATTCCACAAAGTATACACCTTGTTTCATCTCAGTGATTGCGACCCCTCCCTGGAGCCAGTTGTCCTACTTCCTCCCCGCGGGACCCAGCTCCACTCCACCTGACTTCGCAGCCCTTCTCAACTTGGTCCTCAGGTAAATGATGCTCTTTGGCTTTTGAATGACTGGCCATTCCATGGTGCGCACACCTTACTAGTGTCGTTACCCCTAATACACCTTGGCTGAAGATTGGGCCATGAGAGTGAGTTCCTCTGCAGATCTGAAGGGTGGTCAAGGGCCCTAGTCTCAGGATCTTCCAGTCTCTTTCTGACCAGTAAGTCTGGTCTCTCTCTTGTTTTTAAAATCATTTTCAGTGTTGTTCCATATTCTCTC